TAAAATTGTTTTTAGCTATTAATTTTATTCATTTATTTTACATGTGTTTAGTTATTTTTAATTATTTTATTAATTTTTTATTTATTCTATTTCATATCTGTTAATTTACTTATTAATTATTTATTTTAATTTTTTTGCTGATATTCACTTTATTTTTTTAATTTAATTTTTGAAATTTTCTAAATATTTTAATATCGACAACCTTTGACCTTCATGTCCACAAAAAACATCATGGAGTGTCAAATGATGTTTTTTTACCTTTGAGATTGCTATTATTTTCACTACTTTCACTCTTTGGCACTGTTTATTGTTTTAAAAAACAATGATTGTAATAAAACCTAAATATACAAAAGTGAATTTATATATCTTTGTTCTTTAGAAAACAAAAATATTAAATACTATTTATTTATTAGACTGTTTATTGGAACGTTTGGTAAGTAATTGCCAATTGATTCAAACTTTATAAAATGGTAAATAATAAGGATTTCCTTATAGTTGGTTTGTATATTTTTATGATTTAGTAAATGTTTATAAATTTATAAAATAGTTTTTAATATATAAATGAATAAAAAATTATTTTCATATTTATTTCTTTATAAATTGATAAATGATAAATATTGCATTGTATTAGTTTTTTTTAAATATAATTGTATTAGTTTTTAGAATGTTGTAAATATAAAATTATTTTTGAAAATAAACAATTTAATAAATAAATAATGTTTAATATTTTTGTTGTAAATTCTCAAGAAGAAAAAGTATATAAATTCATTTTCATTGTATGCTTAGGTTTTATTACAATTCTTAACATCATTTTTTTAAGACAAACATTGTCTTTTTCACATTCTGTTTTTTTTATGGACACAAAAGTCCAAGAATGCCTTAATTCCTTTATTTTTATTTCATTTTATATTCATTCTAGTTTTTATTTATTTTACTTATTCTGATTTTATTTCTAGGCTGAGGATTTAGCATTATTTACATTACCTTTGTAAAAAAAGAAAAAATGGCTCCTTGTCTGTCTAATACAGTCTCATATTTATATTGCTAACAATGAGTGCAAAGAAAAAACTGCAAAGTGTGAAAAATAAAAGCGAAATGTATCTGATGAAAAGAAGAAAGAAAGATGGCCGCTCTTTCTAGGCCCCAGAAAGCTATAGGTATGACCTGTGAAAAGTAGTATCAAGAGAGATAGTGATAGAGAGATAAGAGGAAATCTATCATTGGCATGTTTATGCCAAATTAGTCAGGTTTCAATTCTGGCTTGAAGCAATCTGATGTCTAGCCACACTGATGAGCGATACAGCGAAACAGTCTGTCTATGGATGACAATACATACATATATATATATATATATATATATATATATATTATTAATTAAAGAATATCAAACACTTAAAATCCCATAGGTAATAATATTTATTTCATGAGAGCTCTAAAAAAGCAGCTCTCAAATAATAATAATAATAATTTTGCTCTGTCTTTTGACATAGAGCTCTCCCTGGATCTACATCCTCCTGGAAATTCCATACAGATTACCATATTGTATCATTACTATATATATATATATATATATATATATATAAGATTCTGTGACTTCCGTTAGTCATCCATCCACCCATCACACCCTTTAAAATAGCTATACACTGACCAACTGAAACCAGATTTTAGGGAGAAGTGCAAACAGGTTAGTGTGGTTTTACTAGGGTGCATAAAAACTGCAAAGTAGGTTTTTTTGTCAAAGTATTTTTCCAAACAAATCAGCTTATTTAAATTTCATCGATTGGTTTGCAAAATTGGACAAAACGTAGAGTTTGTAAATCTTGACAAAAATGTTACAAATAATGTCAACAATACTATATTCTGTGACAATTTCAATACGTGTTGGTGTGTTGCAAAAATTCTTGTGTGGATAAACAAAAAAGTGGTAAAGCAAAAAAAGTGGTAAAGTAGTAAAACAAAAAAAAACATTGTGAAGGACAAAACAAAGAGTTACCTGCCCTTTTGTCTTTCATTTGCAATTTCAGAAAGATGAACATTAATCAAATACTTAAGATATACATACAGGTATTGATTTGTTTTTTTATAGCTTTATTTAGAGCTAAAATGCATTGGATCATAAGAATAATTTTTTTCAGATTTTTTTTTTTTTTTGCACTAACAGTTTCTTGGAGATAACAATGATTTTTCCAGATACTAATCCTACTATTTAACCTATAGCTGGGGGATTCATACGTTTTTCAAGGGTATTAGTACAAAAGTGAACATAAAAGACTAGCCCAGAATTTTAACAGATTGCTGATATTTTCTTTAGCAATATCTGTCACACTATCCACATATACATGATAAAGAACACAAAGAGAAAAAAAGGAACAAATTCAATTGTTTTTTAGATAGATATGAATAGACTGAGATAGATAAATATAGATTAAGATATATTGAAATAGATATGAATAGACAGAGACAGATATGTATAGATTGAAATAGATAGGATTAGACTGACAGATATGAATAGACTGAAATGGATAAATAAAATGATTTTGTTATTTATTATTTTTTGGAAATAGTTAAGATATTATTTTCAATTTGTAAACGAACTGGTTGGTCATCAAACCAAAAATCTCAGACTCAAACAACTAAAGAAAAGTTTTCTAATCCTTTGACATGCCAGGTAGAAAGTTCTAAAGAGTCGTAGGAAAATTCTACATGTATATAAAATCGGTAAATAAAGAAAGAGAATTCAAAACGAATCAATTTTTGATGCAGGACTTCCAAGAATTAAGAGACATCTAAAAGATCTCAATATCAAGCTACTGAAAAAAAAAATATTGGTAAACACAACACACACACATTTATGCATGTGAACGTATAAACACAGACATATATATTGACATAAAGATGTTCACAAAAAAAAAGAGGAAAAAGAGAAAGCATCGAGAATATGTATGAGGGAGATGGGGGTGATGACATTTTCAGCACAACCCACTTCCCAAAATCTAAGCAAATATCAATTCTTTTAAATTTCTTCTTAGACAGGCCAAGTATTGACACACTCATCCACATTGATAGATAGACAAAGAGAGAGAGAGAGAGAAAATAAAGATATATATAATATACATTCTAGTCGCCTGAAGATCACAAGTGCTTGAAACTTGAGTAGCAACTTGAGTTGTTCTTCATTCAGTGTTGATGTTGTGGAGCATCTGTCAACATAGTTTTGGCGTTAAACACTTTAATTTACTATGTAAGTAGGTGTTTGCCTTTTGTCTTTGTTTCTTTTTCCTTTCCTTGGTTGGGACATTTTTCTTGTCTAAGCTTTTAGGTCTTTTGGCAAGTTGTCTGTAGGTCACATTATCATCATTGGTTTTTTTAAATATATATATAAAATTATAATATATTGCACATATAGGGCTGGTGCTAATAAACTCTATGTAATACAGCAGAGCTATTAAGTATATATTAATGTTATAATAAGTGTTTGGCTATGAAAGGAAAGGAATAACAAGGATTAGATTTTTGAACAATGTTTATTTAATATATGTAGTGTCTTACAGAGATGTTGAAATCATTGGAATGTCAGTTTTGTTGCTGATTGTCAGCATGGCAATTAGGTGCAAGAGTTGTGCTTGTAGGTGACCTACCTCTCATATGGATTTGACTGAGGTCATGGGATATGGTCAGTCCATGTGTTGGTTAATTGAGGTCACAGTTGTGGGTCAATTCATTGGTTGATAGGCCTATTCTGTGAAACGGGGCCATAGTGACAACTGCAAAGAGAATGCCTGTAGCAAGTCAGGTATGCTGAGTTGATGCTGGTGGATTGCTGAGGTGATGAGATTGGCATCAGATTGGCATGGCTGGTAGGACTGTTCTATGAATGTGACTGCAGTGACAACTGCCAAGGGAATACCTGTAGTGAGTTGGGTATGCTGAGGTGACACTGGTGGGTTGCCAAGGTAGTGTCAGATTGGCATGGCTAATGTTTGCTGAGGTGACAGCGTCAGTGACAGTGAAGGCTTGTAGCTGGGTGATGTCAAAGCTGGATAGTGACCCACTATATTGAGTTGAGTTTGCCAAGGTGATTGCATCAGCAATGCTGAAGGCTTGTAGCTGGGTGGTGTTGAAGGTGGATAGTCAGCCACTGTATTGAGTACGGTTTGCCAAGGCATCAGCGATGAATCAGAAAGAGATTTAATTGCAATGGAGTATAACATTAATAAATATTCATATTATGCCTCACCGATAGCACAACTCGGAGTTTCATGCACAATGCAATCTCCAGGGACTGAGTATATACTGGCAGTTATGTAATTTTAATTTTAAAAAATATATCTGGTCATCATACTGTTGGCATAGATATATATTACAATTATATTTGGTATTTAAAATACACAGAATTTGTATATATATGTAAAAAAAGAAAGAATTTTTTTTTATTTTAGAGTTGTGAACATTGATTTTTTTTATTATTAAAGGGAGATTGCTTGTTTTTCATATGAAAAAAACAAACTGTAATTTACATAAAAAATAAACCATAATCTATATTAAAAATTAATCTGGATCAACATATTTAAGCAGATATTTATTTTTATGCCTACATGTAACCAACAATTCATTTCTCTTGTTTAATAAGATAAGGTCATTTAAGTGTTTAAAAATAACCAATTTTTCAACAAGACATAAGTTACATTTATTTCCTTTCCCATTATAATATTTGGCTCTTGTTATAATATCCCAGTTGATGGAATGTGAGTTGGCATCATTATTTAATTGCCAGAAATATTTGAAGAAAGCAGTGTTGTTTTTTTGTATTTTATATTACCTAAAGTCTATATTTTATCATATATATATATATATATATATGATAAAATATCATTTTAAAGTATGTTATGTTTATGGGTTAAAGTGCTCAATATCAGGGATAGTGTTTTAGTCACACCAACATTGTTGGGCTTTTTGAATAGATGGAGACATGAATAGACTGAAATAGATAATGAACGAACTTAGGTAGAGAGGCAAAGAAATACAAATATAATGATTGGGGAAAGGAGAAGTGTAAGGTAGAGCCACAATGAGAGAATGAAATGCTGAATGAAAATGATCATTGAGATAATGTAGAAATGAGAAAGAGGGAAATCATGGCTACAGGGATGGAGGGATGGAGAGAGACTGATAGGGGGTCGGTTCCAACTAAAACAGAGAGACATTATAAGAACTGAAATTGTGTCCAAGACAGAAATAGAAAGTGATTATCTGAGAAGAAAAACATGGTAAGCATAAAAGTTGTCCCTGGATGAAAGGATAGAAAGTAAACTTGATAGTACACATGTTTCACAGATTTGGTCCTAATTGTGGCCTTGTGCCAGACGAAAGTCAGGATAGTGAACAATTATAGAAAAGAAATAAAAGCAGAAAGAGAGAGGGGAGAAAGTAAAGACAGAGTGAGGAAGAGAGAGAGAATAAGTAGATGCATAAAATCAATGTATTGATAAAGACAGGGAAAAAAGAGTGAGAGAAAAAAATTTCTGTCTATATTTCTGCAATGAGGTATTGTAACTATTTACCTTGTTCAGACTGTTGCCCTCATCTTTATTACAATATTAACAATGTTTCGGCTGTTGTACGCTCCAGCCTTCTTCAGGTGATATTTCTTGGAATTTCAAACCAAACAATTTGTTTACTCTAGTGGTGGTGGTGGTGGGAGGGGGGTGTAGATTGTGTTCTAACTCCACATACAATATCCCGGTTTCAGTTAATTCCCCTTGAAAACTCAACTTACCAAATTTTTGTTCCCTATATTTTGGCCAGGTATTGAACTTACAACTCTTTGGGTCAGATCACTTTTAGATCAATCTTTTTAACAACTGGGCCATGTGTACTTGGGGACCCTTTTGGACTAGATAAAAAGTTCATTCAAAATACCAAGACATATCACCTGAAGAAGGCTGAAGCATACAACAGCTGAAACGTCATAAAGATGTCAATAAAGATGAGGACAACAGTCCGAAAAAATGTCAATAGTGTAAACAGAAAAAGAACTGGATAGAAAAAAACTGGGGGAAACAAACTGAATGATAAAAACAGCAAAAGAGAGATAGGGTGTAATTCTGTGAAAGAAAGAGTAAAGAATAAGAAAGAGAGTGACAGAAGGATAATGAAAGATACAAGACTAATGTGAAAGAGAGAGAGAGTAAGAGAGAAAGGAAGTAGAAGAAGACAAATAGAAACAAAGAATCATTAAAAGAGAAAATTAAAAAAAAGAAAAAAGTGAAAAAAAGACAAAGAGCAGAGAGAGAGAGAGAGAGAGAGAGAGAGAGAATGAAAATGTTTCTCAAACAAAAAGAAAGAAGACCAACAGTTTTTAGAAAATGGTTGAAAGACTTAGGCAAGAAGAGAGGGATATGTATGTACATAGTGTTTGCTTTAAGATAATGGTTCCCAAACTTTTTATCTCTGGGCTGCATTTTTTAAATGAAAATTTGCTCACGTCTAACCAAAGAGAAGTCCCAGTGAAAAGGTGCAAGCAATCCTACAACAAAGAAGGTGCAGAGAGAGAGAGAGAGAGAGAAGGGGGGGTTAAAGGGAGATAACCACAAATTTGAAGTCAGAACATTATCATTGATGACTCTCTCTTTCAATTTGCAGACCCTAGTTACCATATTCTTAATATCTGATACAATGCAAAAATATCACAATGATATAATCGGTCAATAATTATTTATACCTATTTATAGTGGGAATCAAATAATTCATTTAAATTTTGAAATCATATTTACTTTTTACTTTTAGCATATGAATTTTTTGAAATTGTTTCTAAATCTTTGATTGTCTTTCAATCATTCTGCCTCACCTGCTATCCTCTTCCACCAAACCTATGAGGCATGCTGCACTGTTTGGGAACCACTGCTTGATGATATAAAACTGCAAATCCAATCACTAGCAATTCATAGACATAGGAATTTTAGGCATTGAAATTAAAAGATTTCTTTAAAATTATTTTTACAAGGCCCAAGAGCCACTCGAGGTAGAGGGTTAAAAAGTTAGAGGTACAGTTTATGGGAATACATGGACAGGTTTCAATAGCAGCATTGTCTTGGAAGTTGGCTACACATAATATTACAATATATTTATAATAATATAATCAATAAGACAGAATATATAATAATATATTCTATAAAAAATGTATAATAATACAATCTATATTATAAGACATAATTTATAATAATGTAAATAATATAATAATATTATCTATAAAAAGGAACCTCTAATAATATAGATAATATAGCAATATAGGTATAACACAATCTATAAGACAAAATTTATAAAAAAATAATATAATGTATGAAAAAAATCTGTAATAATATAGTAATATAAATATAATAATATTTATAAAAAGAACCTATAATAATATAGATATATTATTTATAAAAAAATAATCTATAAAAAAATATAGATATGATGATATAATTTATAAAAAATAACCTATAATAATATAATCTATAAAAGTGGAACCCATAATAATATAGATAATATAAAATATAGATATAATACAATCTATAAAACAAAATTTATAAAAAATAATATAATCTATGAAAAGAATCTATAATAATATAGATAATATAATATAATTTAAAAAAAAAGAACATATAATAATATAATCTTTAAGACATAATTTATAATAATGTAAATAATATAATATAATCTATAATAATAATAATAATGTAATAATATAGATATAGTAATATAATCTACAATTGAAGCTATCAGATAATAATAATAACAAATTGTAATTGGTGATAAAACTCATGAAATCATTTAGAAAAAGGAGTGGGTGGAGATAAGAAAGAAGAGAAAATAAAAGAAAAAAGAGTGAAGAAAGAAAAAATGAAAGAAGAAATATTAAAAAAAAAGGAAAAAAAGAAGAAATACGAAAGAGAGGGAGAACTGAAGAAAAGGAAAGAAAATATAGAGTAAATGACTAAAGGAAAGAAACAGAAAATGAAGAAGAGGAAGAAAGAAAAAAAGTTGCAGGAAAATTTGGGATTAAAACAGGCAACGAGAGGGAAAAAAAATTAATATTTTCTTTACAAATATTAGTGACCTAAGTGATATATTATTGCACACACATACACACATGACAGAAAATATACTTTTAAACTATGCTATATCAGACTGTCCCTGTCGTTAAAATACTGTTTAATAAATAAACAGTGTCTACTCAAATGTGGGCATCCACTAAAAATAACATTTAAGGAATAAAATCTGTCGTATTAATAAATAAAAATCCATCACATCCTTAGAAATTGCTTTGTTTACATTAGGATATAAAACTACATTATGCATATTTCGAGGGTCAGAGAAAGATTTTAAAAAAGGCAATATTCCTATATCAAAGATATCATGAAACAGTCTGTCTACTTACATACATACATACATACATACATATATATATATATATATATATATATATATATATATATATATATATATATATATATATATATATATATGGTCTGAAGATTGTGTTTAAGCATGAAACAGACTGTCTCTGCTGCTACATGTTATAATTTAGTATCCACTTTTATATAACCCCCAGCAGCAAGGACAGTCTGTTTCATGTTTAAATGCAATATTATTTAATTAATATATATATATATATATATATATATATATAAGCAAATATATTGATATAGATCCGACAGTATGAAGAAAAATATATACGGAAAAAACAAACAAAAATCCTTATATACAATTATGCTGTTTTAATGTTAATATGTCAACGTCGGACGTTTCGGTCTAATAAACCATCTTCAGGACATATTCATAAATTATAACATTATCAATACAACATGACAAAGACGATGTACATAAGAACAAGACTATTCAAACAAATAACTGAAAGTTTTATAAGATCAGCGCTCCGTTTAAAACATGGTCACATCAATAAAAGTAGACACTAAGGTCAACATCCAGTGGTGGAACAGTCTATTTCATGCTTAAATGCAATCTTCAGGCTATCTTGATATAGCATAGCTTAAAAGTATATTTTTATCATATATATATATATAATAACAATAATAATTTGTACATATGGATAAAATAAATTCCTCACGACAAAGATGCATTTTTGTTTCGATGTGCATGCATCTTAACTGGTAAGAACCAAAAATTAAGCCCTCTTTTGAATTAATGCTGTGAACATTAGAATTTATATTATTTTCATTCTCATTACATTCAGATATTTTTTTTAAGTATTTCACCCCAAGCAAGGCGGGAAGCCACTATCACGCAAGGGGTTACAGAGAGCTGGAAGTGGAGCAAATAGGAATGATAGAGGAAAGGATGAAGAGAAGGTTAGGGGATAGATCAAGGCATCTAGAGACGTTGATTGACATTACATTTGAATAGTTGAAGATTATAGCTATCAGGGAAACAAGAAAAAGAGGAGGGAGTTCCACAGGCAAAAAGTGCAAGACACGAAGCTATTGGAGTAGAAGAGACAGCTACATTTAACAATTTCGACAGTGAAAGGGGGAGAGCGAAATGCCAGCTTAGTTGAACGCTTAAATTCATGATGTCTAGGAACCAGTAAAAGCAGCTCATCGGAGCAGTTACCATGAAAGTATTTGTAGACAGAGGCAACAACACGTCTGTGAGATAGCGACTGTAGATGAGATGCCAGATTAGGGCCAATTACATTGCATATCCGTCTCTGGATTTTATCAAAGACCTTGAGACTAACAGAAGGGGCTCCAGACCATATATGGCAGCAATAATCCATGCAAGGGTGAAATATAAATTTCTAAGGAATTGATGGAATTTTTATTTGCTAATCTGACAGATTTTATTACTTAAACATTATTTTTAGTGAATACCCATATCTGAGTAGACGCTCTGTTTATTTATTAAACGGTATATTTATTTTAGTTTACCGCACTGTCAAACAACACATATTTTTCTTTAATAAGATTTCTCGGATATTCCGGCCAATAGACAAAAACAA